AACAACAGCAGCAACAACAACAGCAACAACAACAGCAACAACAACAGCAGCAGCAGCAATAACAACAGCAGCAACAACAACAACAGCAGCAGCAGCAATAACAACAACAACAGCAGCAGCAACAACAACAGCAACAACAGCAGTAGCAACAACGACAACAGCAACAGCAGCAACAGCAACAATATTGGAAAGATAAAGATAACAACTGGGAAGATAAAGACAACAACGATAACAACAACAACGAGAAGAAGAACAAGAGCAAGAACAAGAAGAACAAGAAAAGAAGAACTAATCACATAAATATCACATTTTCCCCTACCTGATAGTTGTGTTTTCTAGGTAGTACCGCTTGTTTTTCCATCCATTTTCTATTTTCTCCCGTTTCTACATCACCAAGGGTTCTCTCAACAAGGCCGTCAATATTTTCATCATATAGTAACGCCATCAAATCTATTCTCGAGTTTCCCTTCATAGTGTACCACAGTGACAGGCATCTACCCTGCTCGGATGACTTCACACCCACAGTAGACAGCTGGGAGATATTTGACGTCATATAAATCACGTGACCTAGCATACGAAGAGAGTAGAAAAAGTATTGTTGATGATGGGCTTAAAGCTTATATGTAATATATGTATGTAAGGATTTGATGTCCACAGACTTAAGACTTTACCTTGGGTGTAATGCTTTCCCATCAGTTTTTAATTTAAGACCACGTGTCATTCCGAGTATCATTTCTTTGTTTAACGGTTGCGCATGAAAAGACACATCTTACTCTTTTACACTCTAGCACTTTTCAAGGAGTTTAATAGTATAGAGGTTCTGCACCATCATGTGCCCACGCAGATAATCCAGCTTGGACTGCCTGTGGTTAGATGCCAGAATGATAACGTCCTTTGCGCTTTGGAATTGAATTCTTTCTTATGTAAAACGATGCATTGTTCCTGCCATCTAACATGGCTGCCACCACAGGTGAAAATCTTTATAGAGAGTTGCACCAGCTCTAAATATTTTTATTTTATTTTATTGAGAAACTTCAATCAGCCTGCCATTACAATTGTTAAAATACGGATATAAAAAAACGAACATTATGAAAAAAAAAGGAATCATTTTTTTACTTGCCTGTAGCTTTACCAGTTGTGTGATCCACAGTCCCAAGTCCTGCTCCATTTCTTAACTTCCAGCTTCCATCTCTGTCAGGATTGATGAATTCCCACAAGCCGCAAACCCCGTCTTCAAAAGTACAAACTTTCTGACTTATGGCTACAGCTTAAAGACAAGAACATGAAAACAGTTCAAAAATATGGATGGAAATCTTCGTCTCTCTGCCAGCTAATTTGAGAGAAAATGTTAGCCAATCAGAATCGAGGAAATTTGCGAAACTGAGGTGTCACATTTCCTCTTGAAATTATGTATTTCCAGGCCACCAAATGAAATAAAATGTTGCTAATAAGAGGTTGGTAACAGCGACGCAATAACTAATGAGTTTAATATCTTTATTGCATTGGTGGACAGGTTTCTGTTTTTCACTGGTCATCTTTCACAGGCTTCATGACACCTCAGTTCTGCAAAAACGTCATTTCTACGTCACGATCTCAGATCACCTGGTGTGTTGTGCTTTGGGGTCTTCTAGATTGTTTCATTGCCGGGCTACCTGTGGTGGGTCGATTACTAGCCGACCATGTTCGAGTAAGTATGGTACTTCATGTATCCCAAAAATACATACCAACAAATGCATTTACTGCTAGGAATAAAATGTTACTTATATGACGTTCCTACCTTTTAGTCAGTTCACTATCTATTGATCCTTTTGAGGTTTAAAGCATTTTCCCCCCATTATTTCGAAGAGCCTGGCCCAAAACTAAGAATCAACGTCTTCCTCCCTCGTTTATCACACAGGGATCCCAAGCGTTCAAGAAAGCAAATCCCGTTATTTTACCTCGTGCAGGGCAACACTTGATTTTCTTGACACCAGTAAACTTGAGGTCATTATAAAGAGCAGAGATAAAATGCTCAGAAGGGCATTCTGTTCTCCATGTTGCAGTCGAGTCTCGGGTCCCCCCTGTTTTGTCCGGTAGGTCTACGGTAGTACAGGAGTCGTAATCCAAACGGTGTTCCAGTAACAGGCTACATTTCACTGCGTCTAGGTTACCAAACCTTTTCCACTTTTTCAATCCAGCTTTCTGTGCGTGAAGACCTTGAAAAGTTGCAAAAACTGATTCAGGTTTTAATAGTTTCTCACAAAACAATCTTAAATCATTATTTTTGCATTGTTGCCTCCCTCAGAATAACTCACAATGCAATGTGTTATTTAACACTTTCTGGAAAATGTTTGCCCAGCCACTTAATGAACTCCCAAACATATATGAGGATATTCGAAAGGCCCGTTTACTCTATCAATTTATTTGACAGATAGAAATCAAGTTGCCGTAAATTTGAACTTGTACCTCATAAGTGAAAATTACTGGGAGTTGTTGGCGACTTGGCTGCAATCTGTCCCCGGAAATCACCATAATTATATCGCTTGGGATCGCCGGACTATTATTATACGTGCGATTTGAGGTTGAGATAAAATCGCCATTGAAATCGCCGCTCGATTCGAGCGATAAAATTGCTAGTGTAGATGAAGTCTGACCTGTGATAACGTAATTATCTGGACACTGTGCCTTCCACCTTGACTTAGGATCATATCCACCACCTATTCGCATTGACAGGTTAAACACGTACGATATATTCTGATCCACAGGAGCATCACAACACTTAACGTCGCCTAGCAACGTAAACCGATTGACGTCATCCCACAATGACGTCACTGCACGTGATGGATGGCACTGTAGGTTCCAGCGTCTGTCTGGCGCGATGGTACCGCCGATGAGAGATGAGATGCCTGATGGGAAACTATGACATTGGCCTTCGCCGCTATCTGTCAGTTAGAAAGGTATTAGGTCCCATTCACAGTTCCCTGCGCCATCCTGAAATGTAGCTGTGCCTCTGCATCGAAGCAAGAACGGCTAACATTCAAGAGGACGCAGGGAACTGTGAAAGGGTCAATTAGGGATGACGTGAAAGCAATAGCCCATTTCCGAGATGTCGTGACAATGTGCATCATAGCGAGGCTATTAGCAAAGATACTTTGCGAAATATGAAAGCGTTCTTGAGAAGTTTATAGGTCTCGTGATCATGATCTCTAATGTGAAAACGAAATTGATCATATCTAATAAGGTCCGGGATTCGAATCTCAGTCGCCGCATGTAAAATGAGTAGTTGGTTAGTTCTCTTCGTCTGACTCCGAGGGTTTTTCCGACTCTGGTTTTTCCTCCCTCCTCTCGAATCAACAGAAATACAAGTATAAGCTTGTGCGCAAGCAGAGAGCGAATTTTTGTCACCATTTCCTTCTTAAGTTCACGATTGCTTGTTCTAAAAATCAGGCTTCAAAGATGGTGGTAAAACGCGGCGCGAGATCTAGAACGATCGCAGGACTGCTCACCTCCTCCACCGCCATCATCAGGGTTAGTCGTGGGACAGTCTATTTTCTTTCCATCGATGTCGTAGTTTGCGGTTTTCGAACACCAAGCAGCACCATCCGAGGTCTTGATACAGCTGTTGTGTTGTTCACCAAGATAAACAAATGGGAAAACACAGCACTTAGATGCGGTCTCTCCTTGATGTGAAACGGTTTGACTGCAATTGGTTGTGCTCCCTGTGGGTTCTGATTGAAAAATATATTGCAAATATTATTATATTATTTAAACCTCTAAAACCTTTACATTAATTAAAAAATGAAATGCCCTCTGGGTTGATCAAAGTCAGGGCACGGCTAACTCACAGATCGAACCCTAAAACAAACTTTGGGATGATCTAAGTCAGGGTATGGCCCCAGTACAGCTAACTCACAGATTAAACCCTGAAACTACCTGCGGGTAAACTTACAGATCGAATTAGAATTTATGTCTTGCGGAGAGGAAAATCAAAAGGAAATCGGAGAAAAATCGAAGAACCAGGAGAAAAACCCTTGAAAAATTGAAGGAAGAGACCTGTCAATTGTGGTGTCCAGGAATGAAACCCGAGACTCAAGAAAGGAGAGACGAGTGTCCTGTTAGCCATTGTGAGGTTGATGTCGGAATGGCTAATAACTACGTTTACGGCATAATGCACTCGCCGGAGTAAATCCCTTCTCTATTTATAAATTTCTTGAAATTCGCTACAACGTTGTGAAGCCAAGAGAAAATCATTGAATCACAAAAGAGAACCACACACACACAAAAAAAAACTCTACTTGTGTTATGGGACGGGACCATCGAACTGATGAAAGAAGCGGCGAGACTGGCGGCGCATAAGAAGCACTCTCCGCTACACCCCCTCCCCTTGGCCCTGAAACTCAGGTTTACACACACCACATCTTCTAAAACAGTGTCGTTCTCACACAAGCATTATACTGATTTGTAAACAAGCATATTCAATGTAAACAAGACTAGGATCTATAGATGTATTTGTACAAGTTACATAATGTCACGTGTTCTTAGCCCGTGACACATGAACTAAAGGGTCACTAGAAAAGTAATCTCATACAAAATATGCCTAAATACTCCATCTGGGCATAATTTGTTTTCACAATAAGCCATTTTTTCCATACGGCAAACCATATATCATACCCTGCGAGCAGAGTCTCCTTTTAACTCCTATACGGGCGAGAGAAGGAAAGGAGACTCTGCAGAAATCGTGTACAATTTTATTTGAGCATGCGCAGCGGTTGCTAAGAAACTAACTCGTTCACAACCTCACTCGTTTTATAAATGGTTTCCGGTTCCTGTCCAAACACGATTACCGCTTAAAACATGTTTTTGGAGTCATGACCTCAGTGAAAGATGATCTCGTGTTCTTCTTTCACTGCTTCAATTTCATCAAGCTTAGCAGTTTGAAGCACTATTTTTTTACAAGCGGAAATTTGGTCGCTCATCAGTGCCTGGAGCGGAGTTATTGCCACCAAAAGAGGATTTTTAGGGTATCGACTAGTGTTTGGATCGATTTCTTGAAGATGTTTGATCATCGGAGTTACAAGCTGGAAAATAAGTGACTTTGCATGACCTGTCGGCAGCGAAACAAACGGGTCTTTGGCATCCATAAAACTTTCTAGCGATTTCCTTTGATGAGTAATTGGTTGAAATTGATTTTTGTTTTGATAAAACGTGATATAGATCGCTTTCGAAATTACAGTTTGGGATACGATGCGGGCTCAATTTTGGTCATCGGCCATATTTTTTAATACAGACTCGCGCGTCGAGACCAGTTTAAACCAGTATGAAACCTGAAATTATGCATCTCATTATCCAGATTCTTGGATAACGGCACTACAAAAGAAATACACGATTTCTGCAGAGTCTCCTTTCCTTCTCTCGCCCGTAGAGGAGTTAAAAGGAGACTCTGCTCGCAGGGTACATATATCAGAGAAAGGCATATGTGATCCGTTTAATGACTAGTTAATAGTACAAACCCACGGGCTCATTTCAATAGTTTCCGGTGAAAATGTTAAAACAACATGACTGCGGAAAAAGCATCCTGGAGTCAGAATCCGAATACTTGTCGTTAAGCTTCTTAAACCTGGCTGTTCCTGGCTCTTATGTTGGTTGGTTTATATGCTTGCCTCGTAACTCAGTTTTACTGCAACTCATTAGTGATCATTGACTCTAATGGAATGTTACTCAAATCATTATAAGTACGAAAACGATTATAGTTTGAATGTTTGTATACGTTGAAGCTAGCTTACCTTCGCCTGCAGTACAGTGATGTAGTTGAAGACCGTAAAATATAATTACAAGAGTAGGAAGCTTTCTAAACCTCAACATCGCGAAAGGAAAGTTAGCACAGTACCCAAGAAGGCACTCTCTTGTTGTCCGTTGATTTTTCTACGGGGTTTTAGATTACAATCTTGTATTCAAAATACCCTGATACTTGCTTAAATACAGATGTCCACCATTTGGGAAACCTATGCATTGTGGTTCTCTTATCCCAGCTTTAAAGATCACTCGTAAAGCAGATTTTAGATCCAAACGTATGGCATTGTGTAAGAACGAAGGTGACGAACAGACCTCAAAATGAGATCCACGAAGCCCACCTGATTGGTCCGATTTGACATTCATTGTTTAATCGCAATGTACACTCGTAAATGTTAAACCGATGCGAGATGTTTTGTTCAACAAAAGAAAGGTAGACTAACATGGTGTAGAATAACACTCATCGCTTGTCATGTAAGACAGTACAAATCCTGTCGATAACTAAAACCCGACCCAAAGTAACTGCAATTTCTAACCAATAGATGTGTTCTACCAAGTGAGTAATAACCGTTTTTACGCTTTTGAACCAGAAAATTGTCTTATTGTCGGCCCAGAAATCATAAAACAAACAAAACAAAACGATATTTAGCCATGTCCATCATCAAGCTTATGTCGAAGAGTTTTGAGGCATTGTAAAAATTTGACGAGACACAGGCAGCCCAAGAGTCTAGCTAGGTATGATATTTTGTACTTTGCAAAAGTTTATTATACAATTATATGAATTGTATTTTTAAGTGTTTTTTTCCCGTATGAATATGTATAATTATATTAGGGGTAGTGTATCAATGTTTTGTGTGTGTGTGTGTGTATGTGTGTGTACCAAAATGATTAAATTTAAATGAAATTCAAATTAAATTAATCTTGCTTTGTGCGACGTTGCGCCGTGTGTCTGTGCCGTGCTTTACCGTCCAAGTGCCATATAGGGAGATAGAGAGGGATATTAGAGTGCTCAGTTTAGACTCACTGTGGTGACGTCAACTAAATTAGATAAGTTATTTACTATTTTAGCTGATGTCACCTAAATTTGAAACTACGAGTAAACAGCTACTGAGATCAGGTGGAGAAACGATGATACAAATGAATGTCTATTCACTCATTCTCTGGTAAAACAACCCCCCGGATTAGCATGACCGTTATTTGGCGCGCTTTTACTATTTTAGGTGACGTCAACTAAATAGTTATCTTAGTTAGATAAATTTATCTAACTATTCAACAGTGAGACTAAAAGCACTCTAGATAAAATTCCTAATTTAGCTTGCCTACGCAAACCACTACATTCTCCCTTGATTAGTAACATTTAGTAGTTGATCTTAATCATTTACTGTCAAAATATTTATAACCCTAATATGATAATATAGTTATTATTTTTTACTTCGAGTTTTATAAATAGTTTTCAGGCCTTAGTGATACTGAACAAGACGCCGGAATATATTTGGTTTCAGAACTCTAAATTCGTTTAAAAATGTGTTTAAATGGTTATTTGTTTTTCGCTAACAGTTCTGAAGTTCACGATCTCCCATTACTGATCATATTCTTAAAATATAGTTTTAGAGTGAAGGCATTTAACCCGTGAAATAAAAAATACTACTCAACATGTAATAGTCAAATAGACACGAAAGAAAACAATGGAATTAGGGTCTACTAAAGTATATTAGTCTAATATCTATTTCATGGATTTAATGATTCAATCTAAAGGTTTTTTTAAAAATCCAATCCAGTGAAGTGGAATGAAACGGCCGGCCAAAGTTACCAGCTCTATTACAGCGTAGTATTTATATGTATATATGTATATGTCTTAAAGTCGTATTTTTCTTTAGGCTCTACTAACCCACGCGATTGAAGCCAGAATACTGCCGACTGAGTATCTGTAATAATACAAATATATATTTGAATTACAATCCCAGAAATCTTCTTTTACCGCTCAATTGTATTATTTCTAAAGCCCTCAATTACAGACTCAGCTTATAAGCCAGCCGGTATGAGGCATTAATCTATGAGCACGTCATTCAAATCCATATATGGGTATTCTTGTGCAAGAATGCACTTTTCGCGAGATGGAGAAGACAAAAAAACGAGACGTCCTACAGACTTTCACTGGGTTGCCTGTATCATGCACAGAGGCCTCGCTGCAATGTTAGTCAAAAGATAATGGAACGTTTCACAGAAAAGAATGATTTCGTTTAACTTGTCCAAGACGATCTTCTCCCTTAAGGTGTTCTCTAAATGATACTAAAATATTAGCAGGTTCTGCCCTTTTAAAGACCACAAAATAAACAGTTTTGCGTTATGCATGTCACACTACTTGTGAATTCGACCTTGCGCCATGACGCAACAAGATCAAATATCGTAATGTTCTCTGTCAGAATCACCAAAATAGTGCAATAGTACCCAGAAGTCTTCACGGCACCACCCACCTGTCCTTTGCGGGCATATGATGATCTAAGCGCAGTAAATGTTCTCGTCAGTAAACTTTGCCAGGAAAGATAGGAAAGCATAGGTCTACATTTCGCGGATCGATATTACTTGTATGACTGATAACGTCTGATCGAAGTTATACAGGCTTATAAGCAACCGACTACGAATAATTATTTATTGACTAAAAAGATTGACTTATTGTTGAAGATTTAAATCTAAAAAAAAGATTAATTAAAAAAAAAGAAGAAGAAGAAAAATTCTTATGTGGATATTATGAGATTCAAACCAACCAAAATAAATTCCAAAAAATCGACTCCACTTTGCCATACCCCCGAGACATCCGCAGAGCTGAGGCGTCGTATGGACTTCGGACCTGACGGCGATTAAATCCTTCTGCCCTTGGGTGTACGAATTACGCAAGAAAATGTTCTAGCCGGAGCATCAGGGGAGAGACCAGCCGGCCCCCAGACCATATCGGCTAATCCCTTGCATCTCTGCCACGCACGGAATCGGTTGAAAAAATAACGTTAAAAAGTCTAGTCTATTCGGTGCATTGTTTTCACGGCTATTGTTATGCTGATTCACCTTGAACCGTGGTTCAGTGGATAAATCGTTATCGTTCAAGATACTGAGTCAAGCTCGTCTGTGGAGGGTTAGAACTTGGATGGGTGACCTAAACATCATACCTACTCACGCTTTTGCTCTTTTTTTCCTTTTTTTTTTTTTTTTTTTTTTTTTTTTTTTGGATTTTTAAAATAATAGAATATAGAATAGTGAAACGGAGAAGTGAGTTTTACAAAGACAACAACTTTCAAAAGGACATTAAACTAAGCTTATCTTAGAAATTACATCGACCGAAGGCGTCCCGCTGAAGCGTGTGAAGGAGTGCGGAGTAGCGAATTTTACGAAGATCACAATACTCAAAAGGACGCCAAAGTAAATTTATTTTAGAAATTACATCAACAGAAGGTGTCCCGCTGAAGCGTGTGAAGGAGTGCAGGCGCGGAGAGTCCAGTCTTTGAGTCCAGTTGGAAAAGGTCAGTTGCATAGCCAAGTGTGTCTAGCACAAATACAGCACGTGCACGGTACAACATGTCATAAAATCGAAATGGTTTCTTATTGTTTTTGAGTAAATTATTCATTCACAATGTCATATTATTAAATAAAGGCAAGAGAAACTGATGAAGTGAGTTTATTTTCTCTTGATAGAGGAGGTTGTTACACTTCTAGTTGTGTATTACATAGAGGATACATGGGCTCGCGGAGATACGAAATTTATCTTCAGATCTTCAACACGAGAAGATAAATTTCGTATTTCCCAGCGCCCATGTAATAATCTGTTTATCATATAATTATCCATAAAATCAATTTAACAAGCTTTTTATTATCATGAAAAGTTCTTATTTATAAACATTTACATTTACATTTACCAGTTAGGTCATTCGCTCAATACTGAGCATTTTAGACCACGCTAAATAATTATTAAAATGATTAAATAATTAACATATTAATAAATAGAATAAATAATAAAAAATAGTAATTGTCCA